GAACTGGACTGATCCACTTACTTAGTGTTAGAGAGGAACCAGTGTAAAGACTTCAGAACTGGACTGATCCACTTTCTTAGTGTTAGAAAAGTTTTATTTTATTTTGCCGAGACTTGGAAAAGATAAGGGGGTTTCGGCTAAATGTGGGTTCTTGTATTTCTTCAGCAGGTGGAGGAGGAGGTCCAAACCGAGGAGGAGGAGGTCCAGATAGCAGAGGAGCTGGAAGTCCAGTTTGAAAAGGAGGTCCAGAAGGAGGAGGTTCAGACTGATGAGGAGGTGGAAGTCCTGATGGAAAAGGAGGTCCAGGCTGAGGAGGAAGTGGAATTCCAGATCGAAAAGGAGGTCCAGAACGAGGAGGAGGTCCATAAGGAGGAGGTCCAAGCTGAGGAGGAAGTGGAAGTCCAGATCGAAAATGAGGTCCAGACTGAGGAGGAGGTCCAGGAGAAGGTGGAGACACCGGTGTGAACCCCCCCTCCCGATGAAAAGCGACCAAACGTTCAAAGTGTTTTTATTTCTCAGTGAAAGCTCCGTGTTGTTTGACTGGAACTAAATAAACTGAAACTCCTGAACTGTGGTTTCATTCTCCAGTTTCAGTCTGGGTCAGGGTCTACATTTATTGGGAGTCCTCTGGATGTTCACGTGAACCAATAAGAAGACCCAGACCCCCCATAGTCTCCTCAGTGTTTTTATTTTTCTACATTTCAACTAGTTTCTTATTTCTCCTCATGTTTCAGCTTTTTTCCTGCATCGTTATTCAAACGCTCGATATCAACATTAAAACACATCAAAGAGCTCATCCAGTAACGGTTTGGGGGTTTTATTCTTCTGGTTAGTTTTTCCATGCAGAAATGTCCTTCCCCTCGGAGGAGATCGTCTGGATCCCATCTGAACTGCTGGTCTTTCTGTTAACTGAAGCACACTGTGATTCTGTGTTCCTGTCGGTGCAACATATCAAATAACAAATAGCGCAATAAGAAATTAAACAACCCTTTTTTTTAATGTTTTTCCATTAAAATGTCTAAATATCAAAATTCTAAACTAATGTCAGCCTGTCAATCAAACGTTTTGGCTGTTTGAAAAATATTCATTTGTTTTTTATATTAAATACATTTGTTAAAAAAAAATCCCATTTTTGTTCAACTTTTCGGGACATTTTCAGAAATGGATTGAAGAGATTGATTTTTCTTTTGCATTTCAATGACAATTTTGGGAATTTTTCAATAAAGACAGGCTTTTCAAGTGTTTTAAAGCAGAGGTTAAAGAGGGTCCACTGCAGTGAGATAGTCTGGAACAAAGCAAACTGAGTAACATTTTTTTGGGGAGCATGACCTCTGAACTCTGAGGTCTATGGTAAAAAACCTGATGTTTCAGCGACAACTTAAGTTTTCTTTAAGGCACTAGGAAATGCATTTTGTTTTGGTGCAACATATATAGAATAAAATAAGAGTATAAGAAAGGAGACGACCCTGAAGGTATGGAAGCCTGTCTCATCTTATTATAATGACTTAGCAAACAGGCTTCCATATGAAGGTCCCCTATGATGCAAAATGCTTTAATACAGACTGCATGTCTCCCTCAGTCTCAAAGCCTCTCTCAGAGGGTGTGAAAGCCGTTCATACGTGACGTCATCTTGTATTTTAGGCGTTAGCAGCACGATAAGCCCCGCCCACCCGGTAAGCCCCGCCCACCCTCTTAACTGAATCCCAGTAGAAATAAAACGGTAGAAAACGTGACCTTTCAAAGTTTTTCAATTAAAATGTTTTTTTGCTAAATATCAAGATTCTAAATTAAATGTCAGTCAGTGATAAAACATTTTGGCCGTTTTAAAAAAATAGATTTCTCATATTTAGTTTTTTACATTAAATACTAGGGCCGGGACTTTAACGCGTTAATTAAGATTAATTAATTACACAAAAATTAACGCGTTAAAAAGATTAACGCATTTTAATCGCACTTATTTTTGCACCGCGGAACGTTTCTCACTGGATGAGTTTCAGGCGTACCGATTATACTGGAGCACCAACTTCAGACAACAACAAACCACAGTGAACAACAGTGGGAAATGTTGTTTTAAAAAACGGACGGATGGAAGCGTCGATAAGAGCACGGTTGTGTGCAAATTATGCAAAAAGGAATTCGCATATCACCGCAGCACATCAAGCCTCAAGTATCACCTCAATGCAAAACATATAGCAGCTAGCGTGGAAGCTAGCGTGGACGTTAGCCTCTTTTATCGCGTTCACACCAAAAAGAGCAGGTACTAAAATTAGTTCATGAGAACCTTTTTACCCCCACGAAAGTCCCTGCTAGAGAGCAGAGAGCTGCTAGAGAGCAGGGACTTTCGTACGGCTCTCTTGTGAGAAAAGAGCTATATGTCTGATTGGCTGGGCGGATTGCAAACCACGCCCCGTAAAACTCCCAAAAAGTTTTGTGAAGCCGCCATTTTATTATCCTCGCATTAGCATTATTAGCATTAGCCCAGCGCAGAAACGCAGAGAGACTAACTTATGGCGACACAAAATAAAACATGGGAGCGGTGGAGATGAGGAGGTGTCGGCGTTCTGGCGATTTACTCGGAAGGCTTCAGTAGAAGGCTTCAGTAGAAGCCAGTCCCCAACTCCGGGGACTTCCGGCCGGGGACTTTGGGCGGCAGTATACGCCGTTTGCGGCCTGCCAGTAAACCCAAAGCAGAAGAATAAGAAGTGACGTCAGCGGCTTCATTTGCCTAATCCTCCCCCAGGTTCAAAGAGTTCTCATGAACTAAGTTCTCATGAACCTTTGTGGGAAAAGTACTGCGGTGTGAATGCGCCTAATGGTATACTAAAATCCATGTGAAAAAAATGGCTTCTCACTGTTCTTAGGTCAAATATTTATATGTGATTAAAAATGCGATTAATTTCGATTAATTAATTAAAAAGCCTCTAATTAATTAGATTAATTTTTTTAATCGAGTCCCGGCCCTATTAAATACATATTGGATTAATTAAAAAAAACATTTTTTAAATCCCATTTCTGTTCTAATTTCTTCGGGACATTTTTAATGTCATTGATTGATTTTTTTAGCGTTTCAATAAAAATGTTGGTCTTTTAAAGCACAGATTGAAGAGGTCACATCGACACACAGAAGAACCACGGGAAAGATGAAAGCCAATTTTATTGATCAACATAAATAGGACAAATGCTCCACTGTACAAACAACCTGGAGAGTAGAAATAAATATGGTCACAGCAATAAGTTAATGGATGTCAGCTGGGAGTCGGTGAGATGTGTTCGATGGCTATTTACACACATTGTTATTTTACACGGTGTTTAGTTTCTGCAGCCGGCGTTTTGTTTCACACTCGTCTGTCTTCGCTTCACATTCGTCTTTTCACAACTTCAGCAACGATTTAAAAAACTAAGAAAAGCAAAAAGCAGCGGCTGAATATTAAAAACTTTAGTTACAGGTTACAACAGCATCGTCACAGCTATCGACGTTTCTTTAATACACTTTCAGTATCAAATACTCCGGTCGGCAGGTTACAAAAATATCACACAAGCGCCTTCAGTTCCCACGACTCCGAGGCGTCAGTGAACGCAGCAGCTCTCAGCCAATCATTAATATAGTTAATATTAAGGTGGTTCTAACGTCTTTAAATAACGACTACGCAAAAGTTGAAGAAGAACATCCGTTTTCACTCTGAGAAGAAAGTCGCAAAGTTAAGAATACATTCCATAAGTCAAACGGAGAAGAAAGAATACAGACGGGAAAATAATCTAAATGGTGTCACAAACACATGTTTAGACGTTTTTGTCTGAATGCTGTTGGAAAATGTTTGATAACTAAATAACAAGACCTTATTTTCACAGATTACATTCATTATTTTAAAAGCAATGTTAGGATTTGCCGGCCAGGGGTTAGCATTGCGAGCTAGCTGGGATTAAAAGATCATTTTCAGGGCGGTAGCTTGGATCTCTTTTTTCAGGGAAAAACTAAACGCAACATATTTGGTGCTCCCGTCGGCTGAGAGCTGCTGAAGCTCAGAAACACTTCCATCTCTCCGCCAGTCGCACTTTCATACAATCACGTCCTGGAGGTGAAGAGGAACTCCGTCTGGAAATAATAAAAACCTCGGGACACAAACGCTGCGTGTTCTCCGGCGTGCAGAGGCCCCCCCGACGTCCTGCAGCCTTCATAGTCCAGCTCTATGTCCACACACACACACACACACACTGCATGTACACACACACTCTGCACACACACTCTGCATGTACAGACACTCTGCACACACTCTGCATGTACACACACACACTGCATGTACACACACACACTGCATGTACACACACAGACACTCTGCATGCACACACACAGACACTCTGCATGTACACACACAGACACTCTGCATGCACACACACAGACACTCTGCATGTACACACACACTCTGCACACACACTCTGCATGTACACACCCCCCTTTGTGGGTAGACGTCCGGATGAAAAGCCCTGCTCTTCTGCGTCTCCAACTGCAAAGTTATCCCCGCAGATGAAAAGAGTTTTGAGCTAAACCCACACGGACCCCCGCCCCACCCCCGTTCCTTTTGTCAGTGTGAATGGGTTAAGGTGGTCCGGACCAGAAGAGAAAGGTGTTGAGTCCAGTGGTTCGGAGGGGAAGCACCCAATGCTGTAAGAACGTCAGGAAACGTTTAAAATGTGCACTTTGTTTTGGTCTGAGACGACTGAAGTGGCATCATCGCTGTCCAGAACATTAGACGTTCTCTCAGAAACGTAAAGTATCCATCCTGTTGTTGTCCTACTGAAAACACAACTCTGACTTCATGTGTGCAAAGGTAAACTTTGGGCTGTATCCTAAAGTCCCGTTCAAAAGGCTATAACCCGCCCATCCAACATCTGAAGGACCGTCAAATAGAGATAATAATAACATTACATTTATATGGTGCTCAGAAACCATCGGTAACACTGTTTCCTGTCGTGTCTGCTTTCAAGAAGGGTTTTCAAACTGGTTGCATTATCGCCAAATATGGTTTTATGACATTTTCTGAAGTGCACATTTTATAACATGTTCACGAAGTTCAAACATTATCAGGCGCTCAATCAGGCGGCCGAGGAGCAGTCCACACGGAGGTGAAGCTGGAAACTCTGACCCGGCAGGGGGGAGGATGTGCTGGGGGGGAGGATGTGCTGGGGGGGGGGGGGGGGGTGGTGGTGATCCAGACTGCACTTTGAACAGCATGCAGTGAAAGCTTGGCAGGTCAGAGAAGCCAAGAGGGGTGGAACATACCGGCAGGTTCAAAGGGAGAGGGAGACAGCGTCTGCGTAAGCTTCTACCACTACGAGAGCTGGCGGTTGGCGACTTATTGAGCACTCCGATGTAGAGGAGGGCGGTGTAACGGGGCCTTTTTCTGGAAGCGTCCACCGGGGGGACAGCCTCAGCATCGAACCGGCAACCTGCGGTGGGATCAGGAGTCAAGACACAAGTGCGAACGAACAAAATCCAGCCCAGTAACTAATTGTTAAACCCCGCCCCCCACACCGAGAAAAAAACTAAAAGTTTTGGCTTTGTGGTTATGTACAGTGAGTTCCTGTGGAGAGCCGTGTCCGTCAGGTTTCCAGGTCAGGGTCAAGTCTTCGAGCTGGGAGGGGGTGGAGCTAACCGTGTCAGTCTATCTGTAAGTGTGTCTATGTGTAATTATCTAACTGTTGTGTTGTTTAGCTCCGCCCCCCTCCCCCTGGCTCCACCCCCAGCTACTGGTGGACCTCGTTTGCTATCAGACTGTCCTCCCCTGACTGAAAATCCGCCTCGTTGATGCTGTTCCCGCCGTTCAACAAGTCCTCGTCCTGCGCCGAGCCTCGGTCCTCCTCGGTGTTGCTGCCGCCCTCCTGCAGAACCTGAGCGATGTACATCTGCTGCTGCATGTGGATCTGCTGCTGCGTCTGCCGCTGCACAACAACAACAACAGGTTAGAGAGGAGGAACACAACAACAACAACAACAGCTTAGAGAGGAGGAACACAACAACAACAACAGCTTAGAGAGGAGGGACACAACAACAATAGATGTCTTGTGTAAATTGAAAAGATAATACATTTACAACATAGGTAGTCCAAATGTTTGAAAATGCATGTGTCTATAATAAGAAGATGGCAAGATGGCTCCCAACAATCCTGTGGGAGCCATCAGAGAAGAAGTATGGATACTACGGATACTGCGGATAAGAACTGGAGCTGATGAGGTGGATCCACTCACCTGAGCTTTGATGGTGGGCGAGGACGAGGGGCGAGCTGGACGTCCGTTCTCCACGACGTCCACATCGTTCTCCTTAGTGTCGGTCTGAGACAGAGGCACACAGTGAGACTCTGGACAGCAACACTCATGTTTTCCAGATTGATTAAACCCTGCAGTACCTTGTAGTTGTGAGCGCTGAGGTACTTGAAGTGTCCAAAGCAGACGTGAGACAGACAGACCACGATGGTGACGATCAGCACCACCAGAGTGAACATGGAGGTGGGCGTCTCGAAACCTGAGGGCATATTAGCAGCTAGCATGATTTAACATTCAACAACAATTACATGTTGGTGGATTTTTTAACCAGCGTACAAGTGTGTTAGCATCCACATCAGGAGAGGAACTTCACTGTGTGTTAGCATCCACATCAGGAGAGGAACTTCACTGTGTGTTAGCATCCACATCAGGAGAGGAACTTCACTGTGTGTTAGCATCCACATCAGGAGAGGAACTTCACTGTGTGTTAGCATCCACATCAGGAGAGGAACTTCACTGTGTGTTAGCATCCACATCAGGAGAGGAACTTCACTGTGTGTTAGCATCCACATCAGGAGAGGAACTTCACTGTGTGTTAGCATCCACATCAGGAGAGGAACTTCACTGTGTGTTAGCATCCACATCAGGAGAGGAACTTCACTGTGTGTTAGCATCCACATCAGGAGAGGAACTTCACTGTGTGTTAGCATCCACATCAGGAGAGGAACTTCACTGTGTGTTAGCATCCACATCAGGAGAGAGGAAGTACAGACAGAGTTAACCCCCCAGACAGAGAGTTAACCCTACAGACAGACAGAGAGTTAACCCTACAGACAGAGTTAACCCCCCAGACAGAGAGTTAACCCTACAGACAGACAGAGAGTTAACCCTACAGACAGAGTTAACCCCCCAGACAGACAGAGAGTTAACCCTACAGACAGACAGAGTTAACCCCCCAGACAGAGAGTTAACCCTACAGACAGACAGAGAGTTAACCCTACAGACAGACAGAGAGTTAACCCCCCAGACAGAGAGTTAACCCTACAGACAGACAGAGAGTTAACCCTACAGACAGAGTTAACCCCCCAGACAGAGTTAACCCTACAGACAGACAGAGAGTTAACCCCCCAGACAGAGAGTTAACCCTACAGACAGTTAACCCTACAGACAGACAGAGAGTTAACCCTACAGACAGACAGAGAGTTAACCCTACAGACAGACAGATAGTTAACCCTACAGACAGACAGAGAGTTAACCCTACAGACAGACAGAGAGTTAACCCTACAGACAGAGAGTTAACCCTACAGACAGACAGAGAGTTAAACCCTACAGACAGACAGAGAGTTACCCTACAGACAGACAGAGTTAACCCTAAGACGAGAGAAGAGTTAACCCTACAGACAGAACAGAGAGTTTAACCCTACATACAGACAGAGTTAACCCTACAGAACAGACAGAGTGTTAAACCTACAGACAGACAAGAGTTAACCCTACAGACAGAGAGTTAACCCTACAGACAAGCAGAGTAACTCTACAGACAGACAGAGAGTTAACCCTACAGACAGACAGAGAGTTAACCCTACAGACAGAGAGTTAACCCTACAGACAGACAGAGAGTTAACCCTACAGACAGACAGAGAGTTAACCCTACAGACAGACAGAGAGTTAACCCTACAGACAGAGAGTTAACCCTACAGACAGAGTTAACCCTACAGACAGAGAGTTAACCCTACAGACAGAGAGTTAACCCTACAGACAGACAGAGAGTTAACCCTACAGACAGAGAGTTAACCCTACAGACAGAGAGTTAACCCTACAGACAGACAGAGTTAACCCTACAGACAGAGAGTTAACCCTACAGACAGACAGAGTTAACCCTACAGACAGAGAGTTAACCCTACAGACAGAGAGTTAACCCTACAGACAGACAGAGTTAACCCTACAGACAGACAGAGAGTTAACCCTACAGACAGACAGAGAGTTAACCCTACAGACAGAGAGTTAACCCTACAGACAGAGTTAACCCTACAGACAGAGAGTTAACCCTACAGACAGAGAGTTAACCCTACAGACAGACAGAGAGTTAACCCTACAGACAGAGAGTTAACCCTACAGACAGAGTTAACCCTACAGACAGACAGAGAGTTAACCCTACAGACAGACAGAGAGTTAACCCTACAGACAGAGTTAACCCTACAGACAGACAGAGTGTTAACCCTACAGACAGACAGAGAGTTAACCCTACAGACAGACAGTTAACCCTACAGACAGACAGAGTGTTAACCCTACAGACAGACAGAGAGTTAACCCTACAGACAGAGAGTTAACCCTACAGACAGAAAGTTAACTCTACAGACAGACAGAGAGTTAACCCTACAGACAGAGAGTTAACCCTACAGACAGACAGAGAGTTAACCCTACAGACAGACAGAGAGTTAACCCTACAGACAGACAGAGAGTTAACCCTACAGACAGACAGAGAGTTAACCCTACAGACAGAGAGTTAACCCTACAGACAGAGAGTTAACCCTACAGACAGAGAGTTAACCGTACAGACAGAGAGTTAACCCTACAGACAGAGAGTTAACCCTACAGACAGAGTTAACCCTACAGACAGACAGAGAGTTAACCCTACAGACAGACAGAGTGTTAACCCTACAGACAGACAGAGAGTTAACCCTACAGACAGACAGAGAGTTAACCCTACAGACAGACAGAGAGTTAACCCTACAGACAGACAGAGAGTTAACCCTACAGACAGAGAGTTAACCCTACAGACAGAGAGTTAACCCTACAGACAGAGAGTTAACCCTACAGACAGAGTGTTACAGGTGATCAGCAGGGGGCGGGGCTCACCTGTGCGCACGGTGGAGAAGAAGAGCAGCCAGAAGAGGCAGAGGATGGGGGCGGCCACCACCTGAGTGACGGCTGCAGAGTGGATCTTCTTGTCCAGTTTGGAGGGCAGGTAGGCGTAGTACATGTTGTACCTGTCCACCAGGTGTTTCAGCAGCATGTACATCAGACCTGAAGTCACACAGGTGAGGAATGAGGGAGTTAGATCACAATCCCATTTTACATTTATATTCAATCTAATATTTAATAATCCATTCCTTGCTCAATTAATGTATGTATAATATCCTGCTTTATATTTTGTTACTGTACATTTCTATTTCAATTTATTTACTTTTGTAATACTATTTTATTTCTATTTGAGATGTTCACATTTTGGATTGTTTACTTCTTTTCAATGTTCTAATGTACAATGCCTTGTCTTTTTATGCTGCTGCAACGCAAACATTTCCCACATTGGGATCAATAAAGATCTTCTCTACAACACCGACTAAAGACTTGTGTATCAGGAAGTTATATCAGAGGTTTAAAAAGTATGTTTAGTTTTACGAATACGACTATGAATCCACATCTCCTTCCAGAGTTTTTCTCAAAATCCTGATTTTTTTCACAAAATCTCAAAGTTCTGACTTTTTCTCAAAATCTCAAAACATTTCTCAAAATGTTTTTTGTTGTTGTTGAAAATCTCAAAATGCTGACTTTCTCAAAATGTTGGCTTTTTTTAAAAAGTTCAGACTTTTTCAAAAAATTCAGACTTTTTCACAAAATCTCAAAGTTCTGACTTTTTCTCAAAATTCAGACTTTTTCTCGAAATTCAAACTGTTTCACAAAATTCAGACTTTTTCTCAAAATGTTGGCTTTTTTCACAAAATTCTGACTTTCTCAAAAACCTGACTTTTTCTTAAAATCTCCAAATTATGACTTTCTGAAAACATGTTGAGAAATGTTTTTTTGTTGTTGAAAATCTCCAGATGCTGACTTTCTCAAAATGTTGGCTTTTTTTCAAAGTTCTGACTTTTTCACAAAATCTTGGCTTTTTTCAGAAAATCTCAAAGTTCGGACTTTTTCTCAAAAACCTGACTTTTTCTCAAAATCTCAAAAGTCGGACTTTCTCAAAATCTCAAAACAATGTTGAAAATCTCAAAATGAAATGAGCATGCTTGATGTCCATAGAGCAGTGGTTCTCAAACTTTTCCTGTCAGGACAAAGGGGGGCTTTGGAGGAAAAAAAAAGTCGGGCCCCCCCAACACAAGTCAGGCTCAGTGGCGGCGCCAGAGATTCATTTTGGGGGTGCTGCGGGGTAGCTTGACGTTTCATAGAGGGTGCTCAAACATTTAGGGTTTCCCATTAATGCACCGGACGCTACAGAGGAATGTTCTACTGCAACACACACACACACACACACACACACACACACACACACACACACACACACACACACACACACACACACACACACACACACACACACACACACACACACACACACACACACACACACACACACACACACACACACACACACACACACACACACACACACACACACACACACACACACACACACACACACACACACACACACACACACACACACACACACACACACACACACACACACACACACACACACACACACACACACACACACACACACAAAATGAAGAGATCTATGGATACATCTCTCAACACCCATATGAAACACAACTGTAAACAGATTTACTTTTTCGTTATGTATATTTTACAAATCACCCTTTTAAACTTTATTCTTGTTTTAATGTCAGATAGTATTTCATACCTGTTTTTCATTTATTCTCTTATTTTTATATAACTATAATGATCATATAAACGTGTGCCTCGGAAATAATTGTTTACATTAATGGTGGCCAAAACGTTTGAGACCCACTGAGATAACACAGAGAGTCCTTTAGCTCACTGAGTCTCTCAGTCTGACAGGAGAGGACTCTCCTCCACCTTGTTGTTGAAAAAGCTCCTTATATCCGTTAGCGTACCCCGCTAGCACCAGAAGCTAACAACAACGATCTCCAGTACCGGTGCGCTCTCTCTCTCGCTCGCGCACACATAATGGCTCGTTCCACATCCTCAGGATGTTCCCAACATTCCTGGTTAAACGTTATCTATTAATATTGCAGTTCTGATGCAGGTTCAGATACTATTATGGTCTGGTGTGTGAGTTACCGAAGGGCACGATGATGGGGCAGGTGATGCTGTAGGCCATCACCACCGTGAAGACGTTCATCATCCAGGCGTACGCCGCTCCAAACTGAAACTCGTAGGCCTGATGCTGCGAGACGAGAAAGTGTTTTAGAGAAGAGCGCCACCATGAGGCTGCAACGCTCATCACACACTGAGAACTCAGCTGGTCCAATGGGAGTCCTCCATGTAATTTTGGATTATGTCAGAAAATAATCTCTGTGACAAACAAACATTTATGATTCTTACACGTTTAGTTCATCAGGCTAATCTCCACATATTAACCTGTTAACACCACTTTATGATTTCTGAAGTAAAAGCTAATGTTGGGCTATAAAGGAACTACAGCACGGTCACATGACTTCACCACCGCTAAGCTAAAGGAGGCTAATGTTGGGCTATAAAGGAACTACAGCACGGTCACATGACTTCACGTCACCACCGCTAAGCTAAAGGTGGCTAATGTTGGGCTATAAAGGAACTACAGCACGGTCACATGACTTCACGTCACCACCGCTAAGCTAAAGGAGGCTAATGTTGGGCTATAAAGGAACTACAGCACGGTCACATGACTTCACGTCACCACCGCTAAGCTAAAGGAGGCTAATGTTGGGCTATAAAGGAACTACAGCACGGTCACATGACTTCACGTCACCACCGCTAAGCTAAAGGAGGCTAATGTTGGGCTATAAAGGAACTACAGCACGGTCACATGACTTCACGTCACCACCGCTAAGCTAAAGGAGGCTAATGTTGGGCTATAAAGGAACTACAGCACGGTCACATGACTTCACGTCACCACCGCTAAGCTAAAGGAGGCTAATGTTGGGCTATAAAGGAACTACAGCACGGTCACATGACTTCACGTCACCACCGCTAAGCTAAAGGAGGCTAATGTTGGGCTATAAAGGAACTACTCACCCTCTTGACGTTGCGGCGGTCGGCGGCGGAGCGGGCGAGGCAGAGGCGGATCATGTACATGAGTAAGCCGGGGATCCTCAGCAGGTCCATGGCGTTACCGATGAACGCAGAGGCGATGACGTAGTTGACGAAGAACGCTCCGTTATCCGGCAGAAAGACGCACCTGAAGAGAGCACAGTGCCTCCGTTAGAGCAAGACCTCCTACCATAACACTTCATGCACATTTCTGAATAAAATACATGAAGAGAGCTACAGAGATGTATAGTCACAGGTATAAGGAAACTACTTATTTTTACTTTATTCCTAAAATGCAAGAACTTAATTCATATTCTCCCCCTTTAGGCCTGGAAGCTCTGTTCTTCCTTTAACAACACACTGAACTATAAGAGTATAAATCAGGACGTTTGTAACCGCAGGTAAAATAAAACCCAACTCACTCAAATCTGACTTTGGCATCATCCAGGAACTTCTTATCAAAGAGCCAGCGGAAGAAAACATCCAGGCTGGAAAACAGAGAGGATTCAGTGAGGACAGTTGATATTATTATATATTATTTGTATTATTATTTATTACCTGCTGAGTCCCAGAGACGGCAGCAGCAGAACCATGAAGATCAGGAAGGTGTAACATTTGTGCATCGTCGTCCTGTTCTCTCCAGACCTGCAGACACACAGGGGGGAAGATAGGGTTGAATCAGAGAAGTCAGGGTAAATTCAGTGTCAGTGCTCTGCAAAAAAAACAAATCCAAATTGAAGTTGTTGATAACCATTTAAATATCTGACACATTTTTTTTTTTTTAAACGGCATCAAGTACACACAAAGAAATCATTGCATATCATTATAAAAGCAAGCATTTAAATAGTTCAAATATGCAGTATTCACTGAAAAGGGCTAAACTGTTAGTTTTGACAAATGTTTCTGTATGACATCAGAGCAACTTAAAGTGGACCTATCATGCTTTATTTGAACAATATATTGTAGGGCCGTACCTATATAAAGTATATAAATATATATTTTTTTCAAAATACCAAAAAGATCCTGCGTTTTAGCCATGCCTCATTTCGCTCTATTTGCTCTTTCACAGCACTGTTTTTGCAGGGGCTGATTCTGTGAGCTGCAGCTGACCACGCCCCCCTGCAGCTGACCACGCCCCCCTGCAGGAGAGGGGAGCGTGCTTTGATCAGCTGCTGGGCTGTCAGAGGAGGGGGAGGAAAAGAGATCTCCGTCCTCCGTGTTTTATTCTTATATGATTATATGTAGTCATTATTAATTTGTTTTAAAGCTCAATAAATAACAAAGAAGACCTTTGACCGGCACTTTTCTCATTTTGTCCGGAAGATTTCAACTTTATGTTGACCGGCGAAAAAAAATCTAACTGAAACTCTGCCGCACGGTCCCCTCGTTCCTTGGAAGAGGCGGAGAGGTGGGTGTTTGTCATCTGCTGGTGGACTACCGGAGAGAATTACAGCGAGGGAGGGATTGCATTGAATTACAGCGAGGGAGCAAACGCTTGCTTCGGGGAGGGAGAAAAAGAGCCAAGGCGGAGAATAAACAGAAGGGAAACCATGGCAACCATGCACGGGAAGTCTTCTTCGCTGCTTTTGTGGCAGACTACAGCGCCACTTACAGGCCTGGCATATGTACTACAGCGTCTCCAGCGCTTTCGAGCGGCAATGGCCGGCCGTGGCCCAACCTCTCATTCCCCTGATAGGTGGAGAGTTGGCCATATAGGCGGAGCTCCTCGTTCCTGACGTCAGAGAATTTTCAAATCTGGATCAGTCTGTATCAGATCCGTTCCAGCCCCGTTTTTAGAGATTTGGGTATGGAGGAAAAGAGAGAGGGTTGTGTTTTCTGACACTTGGTGAGTTCCCTGACACACCGGGGACACATATTCAAGTATAAAAGACTTACACGAGTTCATTTTGCATGATAAGTCCCCTTTAAAGTGAGACTCAGGAGAAAATAGGACTTATATTCTGTATGCTGGAGTTAGGTTAGTTACCGGGTCCAGTGAGCCTCGAAGAAGGCGGAGTAGTAGACGATGGTGGGCAGCAGGGCGGAGAAGGCCCACAGCAGCAGGGTGGGGAAGAACTGGGTGACGATGGGATTCTGTCCAAACACACCAACAAACAAGAATCACTTCAAAGCTCTACTGGTTTAAAGGTCTCATATTATACAAACAGATCACCAAATCTAGCCTCATCCCCCCTCTATTATCTTTGAAACAGGATGGAGCTCAAACTCTTTCTCTCTCTCAGGTTTACCACAAGGTGACTTCCTTTTGATTTCCTGCTTCTTCACACACACTCTCTCCAGCACAAGTTAGCTCTGAGTGTTAGCATGCTAATGTAAACACAGACCATATTACTTCCAGAACACGTCTCATTGTTTCTGACAGCAACGTTTCTGATTGGCCCGTGGGGGTAAAGCCCGCCCACATTTTAGTAATGTCGTCATAACGCAGCAAATCTGGATCAGCTCCGTTGTTCCCCGTTTTTAGAGATGTGGGTACGGAGGAGAAGAGAGAGGGGTTTATTTCTGACACTTTGAGAGTCTCCTGACACACCGGGACACACCGGGACACACCGGGACACACCGGGACACACCGGGACACACCGGGGACACATGGTGATGTAGAGAAGACATCAGAAAGTGCATTTTGCATGATAGGAGACCTTTAATGTAAAAGCTGGGGGACTGTCTTACGTTGAGATACTCGACAGGCTTGGTGACGTTGAACTTGTCCATGGTGGAGATGATGATGGCGGGAGTGGTGAGGAAGAAGAGCAGCAGGAAGAGGATGACGTTGATGATGAAGCAGCGGATCCACCAGGAGATCCCGCCCAGAGACAGGTGCTCCCTGCAGGAACAAACCATCAGCCGGGGGTCAGGGGGGGGTCATGCAACACTAATAAGAAGGTATCAAGCCGCTAGAAGGCAGCTTTTATTTTGAAATCTTACTTTGAAAGGGATGGCACTTTCTTTGTGGCTACGACCACATTATAAAGAGATCAGGAAGTCCTTTGACATACGGAGACAGATGCAATGAGCATGTAATGGGATCCATCCTCTTAGCCCTAAACGTGGCATTATCAGTAAGTCAAGTTACTATCTTAGCCTAAGGTGTTTGGAGAGGAGAGTTTAGCTGGCTGTTAAGTTCAATATAAATACATTGAAAGGAGAACAGTGTGTTTGGTTTGGTCCGCAGTGGGGTTTTAACCGGGTGGAGCTAGAAGACTCACCAGCGGACGTTCTGCGGGTCGGGTGCGTAGGAAACGCTCCAGTTGTGAACGTGGAGCGCCTCGCTGAACTGAGAGGATCCTGGCTCCTGACGACAGCGACAGCCCTGCACCTGACACGCGTTGAAGTCCTTCAGAATACTGACACACAACAACACTGAGTTACTACACGTTGAAGTCCTTCAGACTACTGAGACACAACAACACTGAGTTACTACTATGATTCAATGTCAGGTAAAGGTTGGGTCAGGTAAAGGTGGGGTCAGGGGTAAATGCTGTGTCTCACACTGCGGTCATGGCCTCGTTCTGGAAGGTGACGAAGGCCATGCCCAGAGGCTTGGTGTTGACCTTCTCCTTCTCCTTCCTGTACTCCTCCTTCAGCTTGGACTCTGTCTTGGTGTAGTAGCTCACCGCCTCCTCCTAAAGGACACATGGAGGCTGAGTTAAACAGCTGACGTAGAATATAAACTAGTTACGACGAAATGCATACTTTCTAAAGAAGGAGTCTGAGTGGACTAGTTATCATTGAACAGGTTATAATCAGGGCTCAGGAAACCACATATTGGTCGTAAATTATGTTTCTTATAATGAAGCTCCTTTGGGTGGATGAGTTAGCGTTAGCGTCACCTCCTCGCAGCCGGTGATGGCACAGCAGCACAGATGTCCGCAGGGCTTGGGATTGATCATGGTGGGAACGTGCTCCTTCACCATCAGGTCGGTGAAGAACTTCTTACTGCGCTCCGTCTTCTTCCTGAGGAACACAACGTGAGGTTAAAGGAACCACAACGTGAGGTTAAAGGAACCACAACGTGAGGTTAAAGGAACCACATCGTGAGGTTAAAGGAAAGGTTAAAGGACCACAACGTGAGGTTAAAGGACCACAACTTGAGGTTAAAGGAAAGGTTAAAGGACCACAACGTGAGGTTAAAGGAACCACAACGTGAGGTTAAAGGAAAGGTTAAAGGACCACAACGTGAGGTTAAAGGACCACAACTTGAGGTTAAAGGAACCACAACGTGAGGTTAAAGGAACCACAACGTGAGGTTAAAGGAACTACAACGTGAGGTTAAAGGAACCACAACGTGAGGTTAAAGGAACTACAACGTGAGGTTAAAGGAACTACAACGTGAGGTTAAAGGAACCACAACGTGAGGTTAAAGGAACCACATCGTGAGGTTAAAGGAAAGGTTAAAGGACCACAACGTGAGGTTAAAGGAACCACAACGTGAGGTTAAAGGAACCACATCGTGAGGTTAAAGGAAAGGTTAAAGGACCACAACTTGAGGTTAAAGGAACCACAACGTGAGGTTAAAGGAACCACAACGTGAGGTTAAAGGAACTACAACGTGAGGTTAAAGGAACCACAACGTGAGGTTAAAGGAACCACATCGTGAGGTTAAAGGAAAGGTTAAAGGACCACAACGTGAGGTTAAAGGACCACAACTTGAGGTTAAAGGAACCACATCGTGAGGTTAAAGGAAAGGTTAAAGGAACCACAACGTGAGGTTAAAGGAACTACAACGTGAGGTTAAAGGAACCACAACGTGAGGTTAAAGGAACTACAACGTGAGGTTAAAGGAACCACATCGTGAGGTTAAAGGAACCACAACGTGAGGTTAAAGGAAAGGTTAAAGGAACCACAACGTGACGTTAAAGGAACCACAACGTGAGGTTAAAGGAACCACAACGTGAGGTTAAAGGAAAGGTTAAAGGAACCACAACGTGAGGTTAAAGGAACCACAACGTGAGGTTAAAGGAAAGGTTAAAGGAACCACATCGTGAGGTTAAAGGAAACACAACGTGAGGTTAAAGGAACCACATCGTGAGGTTAAAGGAACTACAACGTGAGGTTAAAGGAACCACAACGTGAGGTTAAAGGAACCACAACGTGAGGTTAAAGGAACCACAACGTGAGGTTAAAGGAACCACATCGTGAGGTTAAAGGAACCACAACGTGAGGTTAAAGGAACCACAACGTGAGGTTAAAGGAACCACATCGTGAGGTTAAAGGAAAGGTTAAAGGAACCACAACGTGAGGTTAAAGGAACCACAGTGTGAGGTTAAAGGAACCACAACGTGAGGTTAAAGGAACCACATCGTGAGGTTAAAGGAAAGGTTAAAGGAACCACAACGTGACGTTAAAGGAACCACAACGTGAGGTTAAAGGAACCACAACGTGAGGTTAAAGGAACTACAACGTGAGGTTAAAGGAACCACAACGTGAGGTTAAAGGAACCACAACGTGACGTTAAAGGAACCACATCGTGACGTTAAAGGAACCACAACGTGACGTTAAAGGAACCACATCGTGACGTTAAGGAACACACGTGAGTTAAAGGAACCACAACGTGAGGTTAAAGGAACCACAACGTGAGGTTAAAGGAACCACAACGTGAGGTTAAAGGAACCACAACGTGAGGTTAAAGGAACCACATCGTGAGGATGAAGGAAACACAACGTGAGGTTAAAGGAACCACAACGTGAGGATGAAGGAAACACAACGTGAGGTTAAAGGAACCACAACGTGAGGATGAAGGAAACACAACGTGAGGTTAAAGGAACCACAACGTGAGGTTGAAGGAACCACAACGTGAGGATGAAGGAAACACAACGTGAGGATGAAGGAAACACAACGTGAGGATGAAGGAAACACAACGTGAGGATGAAGGAAACACAACGTGAGGTTAAAGGAAACACAACGTGAGGTTAAAGTGAGGATGAAGGAAACACAACGTGAGGTTAAAGGAACCACAACGTGAGGATGAAGGAAACACAACGTGAGGTTAAAGGAAAGGTTAAAGGAACCACAACGTGAGGATGAAGGAAACACAACGTGAGGTTAAAGGAACCACAACGTGAGGTTAAAGGAAAGGTTAAAGGAACCACAACGTGAGGATGAAGGAAACACAACGTGAGGTTAAAGGAACCACAACGTGAGGTTGAAGGAACCACAACGTGAGGATGAAGGAAACACAACGTGAGGATGAAGGAAACACAACGTGAGGATGAAGGAAACACAACGTGAGGTTAAAGGAAACACAACGTGAGGTTAAAGTGAAACACAACGTGAGGATGAAGGAAACACAACGTGAGGATGAAGGAAACACAACGTGAGGATGAAGGAAACACAACGTGAGGATGAAGGAAACACAACGTGAGGATGAAGGAAACACAACGGGAGGGTGAAGGAAACACAACGTGAGGATGAAGGAAACACAACGTGAGGATGAAGGAAACACAACGTGAGGATGAAGGAAACACAACGTGAGGATGAAGGAAACACAACGTGAGGATGAAGGAAACACAACGTGAGGATGAAGGAAACACAACGTGAGGATGAAGGAAACACAACGTGAGGATGAAGGAAACACAACGTGAGGATGAAGGAACACAACGTGAGGATGAAGGAAACACAACGTGAGGATGAAGGAAACACAACGTGAGGATGAAGGAAACACACAACGTGAGGATGAAGGAAAACACAAACGTAGGCTGGAAGGAACCACAACGTGAGGATGAAGGAAAAACAACGTGAGGATGAAGGAAACACAACGTGAGTGATGAAAGGAAAACACAACGTGAGGATGAAGGAACACACGTGAGAGGAAGGAAACACAACGTGGAGGAAATGAAAGGAACACAACGTGAGGATGAAAGGAAACACAACGTGAGGATGAAGGAAACACAACGTGAGATTGAAAGGAAAACACAACAGTGAGGTAAAGTGAGGATTAAGGAAACACAACAGTGAGGTAGGAACACAACGTGAGGAATTGAAGGAAACACAACGTGAGGATGAAAGGAAACAACAACATGGGGAGGATGAAGGAAACACAACGTGAGGATTGAAGGAAACACAACGTGAGGGATGAATGAAACACAAACGTGAGGATTGAAGGAAACACAACGTGAGGATGAAGGAAACACAACGTGAGGATGAAGGAAAACACAACGTGAGGATGAAGGAAATCACAACGTGAGGATGAAAGGAAACACAATCGGAGGAGGAAGGAAAACACACGTGAGGATGAAGGAAACACAACGTGAGGATGAAAGGAAACACAACGT